GGTTTAAAATACCAACGGCAACAACGATTAAAGAGTTCTTAAATCTGTTGGTCCTTCATTCAGTGGAGCAATACATAGTTCCCACATGACGTCACTACATACGGGGATTTGCCGACCCGGCGCCATTTGTCTTGGCATTCTGTGGGCAAAACAATAGAAAAAGAAGCTGAAACGTGTTAATGTCGTGATAAAGTTGAAAATGGTCATCTCCTGCTGGGTCAATGGATGTTCAAATCGTGCCGGAGGTTCCGTTAAACTTGGATTTTACAGTATACCCATCATTAGACTTCATGAATGTGAGAAGACTAAGCTTTTGTCAGAACAACGACGGAGGTTATGGCTTGCGAAGATAAACAGGCAAGAAACTCCCTCAAAACACGCAAGAATATGCTCGGAGCACTTTGTGTCAGGTGCGTATCGTATCTCATAATGTGTTGACAGACGTAATTTACTCAGTACTAACTTGTGTATGCTGATAGCTGGTAACTTGAGAGTTTCATTATTTAGATTACTTTATTATGAGGAGGATCGGTGTCGCGTCCGAGGCTCTCGAGGGCAACGTAAATGTATTAAATAGATAATAATAGTTCTATGGTGGGCTAAAACAATGTTCACAAACAGCATTGCTTCTGTAAAAAGATCTGTGTCATAAAATAAACTGCTCTTTACGCCTGGAAAAATCAGTTGCCCACCATTCACCAAAACATACGGTCAAAAACGCGGAAATAAACAATAACAGCAATCCAGAGTGTCCGTGTGGCATTAGCATTAATTAAATTAATTGTTAATATAATTAAAATAATTAAATGGAGCTCCAACTGGTATTAAATCTAAAGTTTTTGAGAAATGTTTGCATTGCTTGTTAATTTTTGCTGCATAATTTGATCAAATATGTAAAACATGTCCGTAGCACGTTAAACTGTGGTGCCATTGTATTAATATACAATTATGTGCTCAAAAGTTGCCCTTTTTTTTCCAATTTGCGTTTGAATATCTACATTTATTCTCATTCTTCTGTTTAATGGAATGCACAAACACAGCAGCGTGCCATCAAAGATGGCGTCTCCGAGGAGGTCATGTGACATTCATTGGTCTGTGGGAACTATGGCTGTGTCCAAAACGCTAGGCATCGGGCCGCGTAGGGTGGATATGTAGGCATCGTGACGTCACTTCCGCAAGCGACGGCTATTGCAGGGGTGTCCAAAACCACTTGGCGAGCTCGCCAAGCGTAGGCATCATGACTTCGTCTCTATGGAAACGGCCACTTTTGGAGCAGATATGAAGGATGCATCTGATGTATGCTTCGCTGCCTTCTTTTTGCCAAGTCACGGCCGCGCATGCGCAGAACTCCGTTCGGCATTAACATGTAAACAACAGCTCGGATCTGCTGGAGCTAACATTATGGTAAGCACTTTACTGTGAAGTTATGTCTATAGTAAGTACTGCTATACTTTACTGTTGAGTTATGAACACGACTGTTATGATAAAACACAGACATAAATTAGATCTGCCACAGATGTGTGTATTTAACCTTGTTATCTGCTGTAAATAAGCTCAGTCCCGAAAAGCTAATGCTACAAGGCTAGTTCATTCAGATTCGGTTTTTGAACAAGAAAAATCATGTTGTGTTTTATCTTTTAGGGAGAAACAAACCCACTGATTAAATATTAAAGCTACACTGAGGAAATAGTCACGTTTTCATGGAAAATCACTCTGCAGCACAGCAGCTATAGTATGCTAACACATGTTTTCTGTATTCATATAAAATAGATTGTGCATATCGTTTTTAATCCCATACTGAGACTGGGAAAACTGTATATATTAGACATATGAAATTATAGAATAGGCCAAGAATAATTATAAAGCCCTTTTCATACAATAGTCTAATAAATAGTAAACACACATTATACAGAGGTTTCGTTTGTCATTAAGACATTTGCAGAGGACAAAGTCCCACTTCCACAAACACAGGTTTAAAGTGGTTAGCCATGCTCATAACTTGATTATTTGTGTATATTTCTATCATATCATTCTTCTGTTTCCCCTGCTGTGAAGCTTGTATCTCTAATATTAAATACTGTAAGGATTTCTGTATTTTATTTTTAACCAGTTTTTTGCAAAGCCCCAAATAAATAGTATTAATTGAATATGAAGTGTAAAAAGAATCCTAAATGTGGGCTGTGTTTTAATGCATGATGTTTGTGTTCTTCTTTTTCAGAGACTTGTGGTGAAATTAAGGTCATAATTTCTCCTGCTTCACCTCCATCACCTCCTGCTTCACCTCCATCACCTCCTGCTTCACTGCTGAAAACATTATGAACTACAACAAACTTGTATATAATATTTTCCTTTAATCACCAGTCATGAATAGTTAGAACAGTGGGCTCTGCATCTCTGAAGACATGTAGCAGAAGGAGCAGCAGCAGAAGGAGCAACAGGAGGAGTAACAGCAGCAGCAAAAGGAGCAACAGGAGGAGTAACAGCAACAGCAGAAGGAGCAACAGGAGGAGTAACAGCAGCAGCAGAAGGAGCAACAGCAGGAGCAGCAGCAGCAGGAGCAGCAGCAGCAGGAGCAACAGCAGCAGGAGCAACAGCAGTAGGAGCAACAGGAGGAGTAACAGCTGCAACAGGAGGAGTAACAGCTGCAACAGCAGCAGCAGAAGGAGCAACAGGAGGAGTAACAGCTGCAGCAGAGGGAGCTACAGGAGGAGTAACAGCTGCAGCAGCAGCAGCAACAGGAGGAGTAACAGCTGCAGCAGAGGGAGCAACAGGAGGAGTAACAGCAGCAGCAGAAGGAGCAACAGGAAGAGTAACAGCAGCAGCAGAGGGAGCTACAGGAGGAGTAACAACAGCAGCAGCAGGAGCAGCAGCAGAAAGAGCAACAGTAGCAGCAGCAGAAGGAGCAACAGCAGCAGGAGTAACAGGAGGAGTAACAGCAGTAACAACAACAGCAGCAGGAGCAGCAGCAGAGTCCTGGGCGTCTGCCTCTGACACAGGTCTCATCGACAGCACTTCAGAGAACCTGGAAATAAAGAAAACTAAAATCAAACTTGTTGGTTTTATTATGATTTTTTTGTTTGTGTGAAATGTAAAGAGTCATCAAAGTGAGGTATTATTTACACAACTACATATTTGTCAGCAGTACTTATACTTGAATACATTAAACTCAAATGTGATTAGTAACGGTCTGTTTGCTTTTCAAGAGATATAAAAGTGAATAAGAGCAGTGTCAAACATCTGTGTTCAACTTCATTTTACAGATGTCTGTTAATGTTTCCATGGATGTGTCAGTTATTATTATAGATCCATGGATGTGTCAGTTATTATTATAGATCCGTGGATGTGTCAGTTATTATTATAGATCCATGGATGTGTCAGTTATTATTATAGATCCATGGATGTGTCAGTTATTATTATAGATCCATGGATGTTCCAGTTATTATAGATAAATGGATGTTCCAGTTATTATTATAGATAAATGGATGTGTCAGTTATTATTATAGATAAATGGATGTTTCTCTCTCATCAGCAAACACACGTTAGTACATTTAGGTCTGATAAAATTACTTTTAAGTGATGCACAAACGAGGGCCATAGCAAATATATAATCCATATCTAATAATCATTTATTGCATATATGTGCATTGTTTACATAAAATATAACTTTGTAAAAACTAATGATTACTGCCAATACAATTGTTATAACAGAGAAAGTGTAACAACAAAAGCATCCTCTGTTTTTTCAGAATACGATTGTAAACATCCAGGGGGCTCTCATTACCTGAACCCGTGTTTAGACAGCCTGTTCTGGGCTTCAGCACTGCAGCTAACTGGGCTGTTAGCTTATAGCACCGGAGCTTCAGGCTGGAGGTAAAGTCCGAAAATTTTCGAATTTATCTCCAAACAGACCTCTGATATGACAATAAAGGGGGATATTTCTCGCCTCAAATGATATTAGAATTAACTTTTATGTCCTAATTAAAGCGTATTTAGAACTTTTTACCGTCCATCATGGCCGCCGTGTCCTTCCGCTCCGCTCTGAGTTGTGTAGTCACGTGACAAAGGCAGAAGGCAGCTGCTGTCCAAATCCACCTCACGTCTCGCCTCCTACCTCGCCTGTGGCTACGCGGCCTTCCCTCGATGCCTACATATCCACCCTACGCGGCCCGATGCCTACCGTTTTGGACACAGCATATGTATAAGACCAGGAAAGGCGTCTATGAAGCATGATTTAAAAATAGTATTGATCACTGTTGGCCCGGTCTTTTTTCTCTGGCCCTTCCGCTCAGTGCATTTGCGAAAGAGAGTCTAAGCTCTGTTTTGATCTTTGAAGTGTCCAAAAAGAGTAAATATCCAAAGAGATATGAGCCGTTCGAGAGTCAAGGTTTGTGAGAATCATTCACTTCTGTCAAGTTTAACAAATAAAACTGCAATCTCCAATTAACCTGACATTTGTTTGTGTCCTAAATGTGATATGTGTAAAAAGCAGGTTCTTCAAACCCGGATTTAAAAAAGGGCCACTGGATTAAAAGCGAATTAAAAGCAATTTATTATAAAATACATTAAAAACAAGTAAATAAAAGCAATAAAAACCTAAGCTAAAAAAAGGACTAAAAAACTAAAACAGAGGCTAAAATGGAGGCTAAAACGCAGGCTAAAACACGTTCCCACGGCCTGGGCCGCCAGACCACGGGGCTCTCCCCTCCCGTGTCTTGCTCCCGTGTCTCGTTCTCTGTGCCACTCCCCCTCCCCATCTCAGTCTTTTATTCTCAAGGCGCAGGTGTCTTGATTGCTCACTCGGGGAGCCGGGGTGCTTCAGGTGGTGCCAGTTAAAATCAATATCAAAAACGCACAAACACAACATGCTTAAAATATGAATAAAACCATATTAAAACCCACCACCCATTTTGCACCCCCTGACACTCCCCCCTGCTTTAATCTTAGCAGTCCCTGCTAACAGAGAACACCTGCGCCTTTCAATCTCTGGGGAGGGGTTCGCCTCAGTCGCGTCTCTCCCGGGGCCTCAGACTCCTGCCGCTGCCGCCACTGCCGCTGCTGCCGGGCCCACCTGCACCAAACACACCAGAGGCCAGCCCAAACCCACGCATCCGCGACCCTAGGGCTGTAGGCCTTCCACGAGCACCACTACACCACATGCCCATACTTACAGGCCAGGCAGACCTCATGTCTGCCCCTGCTTGTATCATGCGTCGTGGTACTCTCTCTCCAGGTCGCGGATGTGGTGCTCCTCTGTGTTGGAGGGTGGCCCACCCGGCTGCCAGCGCGCAGTTCAGTTCGGCTCCCATTCACGGCCTCTGCGACAGAACATCCATCCTTCCTCCACGGAGCCCTAGCCTCTAATCGCCATTTAAAAACAGTGGTACCGGGTCCTGCCAGACAACGCCAAAATGTGATATGTGTAAAAAGCAGGTTCTTCGGACCCGGATTTAAAAAAGGACCACTGGATTAAAAGTGAATTAAAAGCAATTTATTATAAAATACATTAAAAACAAGTAAATAAAATCAATGAAAACCTAAGCTAAAAAAAGGACTAAAAAACTAAAACAGAGGCGAAAATGGAGGTTGTGCCAGTTAAAATCAATATTAAAAACTAATAAACACAACATGCATTAAATATGAATAAAATTATATCAAAACCCACCACCCATTTTGCACCACCTGACATAAAGGTAATTATTGTGGACAAATCAGACAACAGCACACATTTACCTTATTAAAACACATATCATGAGTCAGTGCTTGACGCTATGGGCTGAGAGCTTGTGATTGGTCGAGCCGGTCTGAGGTAAAAAATACTGTGCACTGTTCGTGTAGAGAAGCATTTTACATTTGCTTTGCTTTCAAAACTGTTTAAACCAATGCATTATGTTTGATCCAGAGTATTTTTATTTGGTGCCCCACAGGATCATGGGTGGTGTTGTTATAATGCTCTGTTTCAGGTGAGCTCCTTTTTCTTGCTGATTTTTACAGATACATTTTGTTTTATTACCATAAAATGACAACAACAATACTGAGGCATTTTCACTGCATGGAAGAATGGGTCAACAATACCAGTGTTTGCTAACCTACAAGACCTACAGAAAAGTTTGGCCTCTGTCATCGCCAACTTCTGTTACATTACCAAATATTGAGTTGAACTTTTTTGTTAATGGTAAAATACTTTTTGCATATCATCAACGCTGTTTCACAAATTAAGAAGAAGATACTAAATCATCTGTCTATTGTGCACACTGAGTATTGTTGCATGTGTTTTTGAATTTTTTGTCTTTATTTTTTTTACTGCAAATAGAAAAAAAACTCAAAGTAGGAGCGCACCCAAAACCAGACACAAAAACGTTTAACAAAGTTTATTCAAAGATGGAAGAATCTAATAATCTGTTTGAAAATACATTATGATTTACTATTTTCTTCCCTATATTCTAGTGAGACAAATTGCATCGTCAGCAACTGCCAACTACTGATGAGTCTGCACAAAACACAAGAAAATGGGCTAGCGTGCTGGATTAAAAATTGCAAAACGGAAAAACAGTGAAAAAATACACTGATTGGGAGCTACATAGCTGTGTGTATTTTATTTACATACCACGCTGTAACGTTTCGAGCGTCAGACATAAATTCCAGACACACCTGGTAGCAACTTAAGATCCAGTCACATGAGCAAGGGCTGTCACGTGACATACTACACAAAACACAAGCTTAGAATTAGGATGCGTTGCAGAAGAACAGAAGTGCATCTGTAAGAATGAAATAGAGTTTATGTTAAATCAGGAGTGACAGCAGTGAGTGGAATGACCTGATGACGTGGAGTCCAAAGTCCACAGTTGTTTTGTGCTTTATAGTTTTTATTTTTATTGCTTTTTTCTACTTGTGATGTTGCTGCAGTACAGTGTTCATGGTTTTACACTGGCCCAGAGCAGAGAGGATTCAAGCAAAAAATCCACTGGAGGAATGCTAACTTTTTGAAAAATGCTAATGAAGCATTTAGCATTTTACTTTGGACTAGAGCAGAGAAAATGGTCTGAAACGAGCAGCTCCACCTCTGCTGCTGTGACCTGTCTTGCTCCACCCAGAGGCTACTCCATTGCTGCTACTGTGACCTGAAGGGCTATTGCTGATTATTGCTATTGTTTGCTTTTTGGAATTATCAATTCTTATTTTTATTTTTACTGCTACTGGACACCTGATTGTCTCCTACGGGGTTCAATTAAGTATCTATCTATCTATTTCCTCGTACCTGAACCTCTGTAGCCCATTTGCACCAATGTTACCTTTTTACCACAGTTTAACTTTGACCAGTATGTACACACATAATATAACATTGCAAAAAAAATGTTTTGCAGTACCGCGGGGAATCCCCCCGAGCACATGCATCCGTCAGCTCCAAACTAGTAAAAGCCTATCCAGATATTAGAATAGATCCGTGCCTGTGAGTCACAGTTTGATGCTTTAGGCGGAGTGAGTCAATGCATGCGTATACAGTACAAAAGTGAAAACTAGAGTTTAAACTGTCTTAGAGCCAGGAACAAGTGACGTGGATTTTTATGAATCAGTTCAATCTTCTGTGATGTGAAAATCAGCTACACCAGCTTTGAACAAATCCTGTAGATACGAGGAAAACGAAACTCTTTTTTTTGAACAGTGCAGTATACACACAATCCACTGGTCCCATTGATTCCGGCTTGTATGTCCGGCAAGCACAAGTAAACGGTTGCTTATTGCATCTGTCAAGCAACTAATTAAACGTGACGTGGGTAATTGGACAAACCTCTGCAGCTTGATGAACCGATTGCGCAACACGTCTGGCCCATGTCCTTCTCACCTTTCACCAGCCCTTCCATTAGACCAGCTATCGGAACCATCTCCCGCCCTACCCCCCCCGCGCTGGGGTCGATGCGGTCTTAATTCGAGCCGCTCTGATTGTCTCTGTGCACAAGCGTCCGTCTCATTTGTGAGTCTGTCACATTTGTCTCAGTCGTAAAACGTTCTTTACAAAGCTTCTGCCAGAGTTACACTGGGATAGTTATTGTAGAGCTGCATACGATGTCATTGAAGTCCAGTCAATGCACTTGTTTTTGATTAATATCTTATTCAATATTGCTTCTTTTACCTCACCGGTTTTGTAAATATTTAAGTTCAGCTGTTTGAGTACAGTGAATATAACTTTTTCAAGACAAGCAATGGTAAGATCTGCCCTTCCTAATGATTGGTCGAAAGAAATTCAAATCCTTGAAGACTATTGTGAATAGTCAGAATAGTCAGACATGAGACAATTAGAGACACACAGATGTTGCATTGTTTTATGACTTTTTATTTGCAGAATGTTTGAACAAGGTTTGTCAGGTCCACAGCAGCTCCTGCAGAAGTCTGGCTCCTCAAGAGGTCTGGTCCATGGCAGTTTCCAAGTCCGGCCTTAGATGTCTGATCCAGAAGTCCTGCGAAAGTCTGACTATCACAGAGAAGGATTGCGCTTTTATTTTCCCAAATGGCAAATAAATTCATATGAATCGGATTTAATTTTCACGCTCGGGAGCAGGGAGGGCGTTGTGCATGTGGTTCTTTCCTAAAATTTGGGAAAATCCTCCCCAGGGATGAGAATTCTGTGTTTTTCTCGCTGAAAATGTAATTTCTGTGTAATGTATATTCATTGAAACCATTTCCATAGGGGGCTCTAAGCTGCTCACGTGAGAAGTGTTTTTGGGGTCTCGGCACACACAAATCTCTGTCCTGCGCACACAATACAAATCCAGCCTGATGTGGTTCTCAGATGTAATTGAGGCTAATCAATGTAATTGACAGTGTCCCACGGCGCCAGAAAAACGATGCGGGCGCATATTTCTACAGTATATGGGCTGCGGTGGATCTACACCCGAGGGCCTGTTCAGAGACTGGAACAAGTCCGAGGAGTAATTTCAAGAATTACTATTGCAACAACACATCATCATTTGGGTAAAACTAACCTGTCTCACGACGGTCTAAACCCAGGTGAACAATCCGACGCTTGGTGAATTCTGCTTCACAATGATAGGAAGAGCCGCGCTGATGCATACTGTCCGCGAGAGCAGGTTTGCCTTTGGGGTCGGTGTAATGCCAGTGTCTCACACTCACAGAGATCCGAGTCTGAGGACTGATGGACATTCCTGTTTCCATCGATCTCTTTGCTCATTGCCCAAAGTACTTCCAACACTTTGCTGTGGTGGTGTTAGTGCTTATCTTCTCTCTGCTGTAACTGTGTTGGTAAGACACCCTTCAGTTAAGCTCAAAGAGGTCCATTTCTGAGTAAAGTTGGTTTTGAGGCAATAATTCAAATGAATTAAACTCAATAAGACAACTATTATCGCTAGATAATTATAGGCAACTATTATGAACAACTTAACTTAGTCCAGATTGTAAATATAGATAGCCTACATCAAATTTTTTTAAATGTCCCATTCTCATCCCTGTCTCCTATATACCTTTAACTATATGATATTATAGATTTGTTTAAAATACTTGATGTATGATTGAAGTAAGTACTTTTAATAAGTCAAGGCCTGTTTTACTGTGTTTTCATTGCTTTTCTCTATTCCAACATGTGTTTTTGATTCAGTGTGTTCTAAGATGGAGAAGACTGGATATTGTATTCTGGTCAGAGGCTGCTATCCTTCCTCCCTCTGCCCTGACAGTGATTTATAAAAGAACTAGTTTTATTTTTACAATGACTCCTCTATAACTCACAATCCCAGGGTGTTATGTGAGCTGTCAGCACCAGCGCGTGGCCGTGTGTGCGTTTGCGCGCGTGTCAATCTCCCTCCTCTGCGGTCAGCGGTCAGATCGTTCCAAAGCCGCCCGCCACTTGGTGAAGCGACGGTATTGCGCTGTTGAAAAAGGACTGTACCGTGCGCTCCAGGCTGAATGTCAGAAAACAGATGGGCTACGAATCGGGTCCGGGAACACAGAGGCTTGCCATTTCTCAGACCAATTCACCGGCGACAATAGAATGCAGTGTACACCACAGTGATGGAAGATTGTGCAGCGCGTATTGGAAAGAGCGTGGTTTTTCAGCACAAGGGAGCCACTTGAAGTTAACGCTTTTGTGGAGCTAGGGTGAAAATGTGGTTTACTTACAGTATAGAGCACAAAGAACAGTTTTTGTCTTCAGTTTGAGAGCAAGGTTATGTGCAATCAAGAGTCTTTACAGTCTCCCAAATACCAAAGTTTAAACATGTTTGTAACTAATTGGAAGGCATTCAAATTAGAAAAGCTTGACCAATTCTTAGTTTATCTTTTCTGCTTGGAGTGAATCTCT